GTCTTTCCAAATTTGATTGTCCTGACTAATCACCTGTTAGGCCTAATTAATTTTAGAATGTTTTAAAGTATTGCAATTGTGATGTATTTTAATGTCTGATATGATGAGGCTGTTGCCGAACTGTGGTTGTTTTTTAAATTAGTGAAATTTTTGTATCTGTTATTTTAGAAAAACTGATGATGGTGGAAAAATACACCGAAACGTATTTTGATTGATAAATAGAGACAATAAATGACTGAAAGCCAGGAATGAATTTGATTTGAAAATAAACTACAATGTGAGTACGCTTTAATTATAGTGGCAAGAAGTAGTTCTAAATGCAGCCATTTTTCATCGCCCTCTGCTTGACAGACATTTTGCTTAGACATAGAGTGCATAGAGCATAGATGCACCATCACCCAGGCCTCATGTACAATACTTACCTTTTCGTACAAATCAACTAGCACCGTAGAAGGCAGAGAAACAATATCGGCCTTTGGCCAAGATTTGTAAAAATGAGCGTATCTAATAGACTCAACTATCGAATTTAAGCACAAATTGTACAATTTAAGAGAACGGCTAATCGCGATTCTATCGTCAATATCTTCCATTACTCTGGAAAGATCACACGACCTCAAAAATTGAATATAGAGACTCGAGTCCTAGAAAAAGGCTACAATTGTTGCAGTTCACAAACACCACTTTTCTCACGTGTACTGACCAGTACTGGTTACAGACCATAGATAAAGACATGTGACTGACTAAAATATAGAGTATAGAGTACACACAGCGTTGCCATAAATAAATAGTTTATTTTTGATTGATAAATGTCCGTTAATTTTTATTTTTATATATTTTATGGAAAAAACTACATCCACGAGCAATTGTCTTCTAGGATCTTTTTTTGGATTTCAAAAGTTTATCAGTGGTAATTTTAATTATGAAAATTGGAAAAAACTGAAAATTCTCTCTGATTCACGATTTGATCAATATTTTCGATTTTCTTCATTATTTATTTCAATAGTGTACTAGATACATAACATAAGTTGCTTTCACGTAAAGTTATTACAGTTGAAAGAATTTTATTGCCTACAGTAGCGCAAACCTTAATTTTTCTTAAAGTTTGAACCTCAACAATATTATCCACCTGTTCCTTGTCTGTTATTAATTTTTTTTCTAAGTAAATTATTTGCATTAGCCAATATAAATAGTTTTATAAACAATAATTATATTGAAAGTATTTACCGTAAAAACGGTAGACCTGGCAACCTGACTCTACCGAATGACTCTGAAACTACTACATGCCGCTTGAAACGGAAATGAATTTTTGCAGCTGTCTTGTCTTGTCTATGTCAGCCTTTATCTATGGTCTCGCTCTATGGCATGTGCTCTGTGACATTTATTTAATGAATTCCATACCACCTTACAAAATTTAACAACTTTTAGAAATTTTTAAATAAAATAATTTATAATTTGAAAACGGTTGATTTCACAGCTTAAAGTGTAAATGCAAAGTCCACATTGCTAACACCCTGTACAATGTATTGATATTTTCGTTCAAAAGAACTCTTAACGGATCTGTGGTGATTGGAAAGACGTATTGTTTTGTATTATTAACTGCCTTTTTTTGCTTCTACAATGAATTTTTACATACCATGTTTTTAAGAAAAATTTTACTACAATGGCGATAATCTGCCAACGTCGCAAGTCAGAGAAAAAAACAATTTACGGTCCATATGCAGCATTTCAAGCTGCATGCCATGAGCTAATGAAAAATGGGTAGTTCTATTTAAAAAAATAATATTTTTAATGATTTAAGATATTTTTAAAATGTGCGCACTTACTGCGTCAACAACTTTTATATGAAACCATTTTTCGAAAGATCAGCACTAACGGAAATAATGGACTCTATCGCACTAAAAAACCACCCTATATATAACACACATAAATATTATGTAACTAAGTCACACGGAAGTAGGAATGGGAGAAAAACATCGATGTAATTCGTTCGGTGTTCGATATTTTTACCATCGATGTTGGAAATTTGGGACTATAGAGTAAGTAAAATATTATTATGCTTATACTTATTTTACTTTCTCTATGTTTGGGACATCGATACTGAAATGAAAACATTTGATGTTGATACTAACAGCTTTAAATTCAGGTGGGGGGGTTAAGTAAAAAAAATACAGTCTTCTGTTGTGTATGAAATTAGAAAAATTATCGTCGTTTTGTGCAAGGGTGGCGCAAGATTATGCCAAAATTTCATGTTTTCCGTCCCGTTTTTGCT